CTGGAAGGTCTGGATCTGCCAAATTTCGAGAGGGAAAAAAAAAAAAAAAAAAAAAAAACAGTCTAGGACCCTTCCCCATTGAGGAGCCAAGCCCCCAAATTTGTTTTGGGGGTTTTTCAGGCCCATTTATGCTTTTTTGGGGGGGGGGTTCGGACATGCTCTCTCTCTATAATAATTTATTAGACAACCCCAATTTTTTAATTATTAATAATTCATTACCTTTTATTAGTTTTTTAAGTCGTTTTTTAAGCTTTTTTTATAGTTTTTGACTTTTAACTCAAGTTTGGTTAGGAATTCTGACATGACTCTGAGGCAAAAGTGATTTGCATTGTTATTCTGCATAACATCCTTTTTTTTCAGATTTTTTATTTTTATTTTTTATTGATGGTCCGGACATTTCCGGACCTGTCCAGACATCCGGACCGTCCGGATCCCCCATGTCCGGAGGTCCGGAAATGTCCAGAATTCTGGACGTCCGGAAACTACCGGACACAGGTCCGGTTCCATGTCCGGAAATGTCCAGGTCCGGGTCCAGCGTAGCCATGTTTTATATACTTTTTTTTTTTTTTAATGCCTGTCATCTTTGCACAGGGGCCATTATAATTAATCGCCTCCTAAAAAAAATAAAAATAAACAAAATGAATCATGTCCTAAAAAAAAATTCAAAAAAAAGTGTATCGTTCCTCCGAAGGACTTGCGTATACTTTTACCTCTCAAGTGGATCCCCGAGCGAGGTCCCATTAGGGCAGAGGATTGGCTTAAGCGCCTGAATCTGAATGGGTACTAAGCAGAGATGCAGAACAGCAGATCAATCCCAGTTTTTTGCACCTCTCCACAAACCAGTCCAGATTCAGGTGTTGTAATCCAACCCTCTTTGCTATCTCCTTCCCCCGAATACAACGTATGGTGAGTTGTAGCTGTATTTGGCGTATCTTTCTGTCTAAATACAGCTATGATGGCCGTACGTTGTATTCGGGGGAAGAAGGTACTGGGACCATGGCTCGGGACCCAGCTCATGTGGCTGAATTGCACACACATGTAGCTGTTAGTTTTTTTTTCAACAATTTCCATTTATTACAAAACGAGCCGGGAAAAAGCTGGCCCCTTCGTAATAAAATTTCTATTTTTGTAATGAAAATAAAAAAGCAGGGAACCCGCATGGGATATCCCCTTTTTTTAAGAAGAGTCTCAACTGGAATGTATTGCTCGTATTCGTACGAGTTTTATCTTGCTCATCTATCAATCAATCGAAGAGTCACGGAAGAAATCCCGTTCAAAAGAAATGAAAAATAAAACTGAAAAAAAGGGACGCGCTAGCGCATCAACGTCTTAAATGGCGAACACGTGTCGTTATTTCAAGAGTCTCGCCTCGGAGTGTCCCTCATCGGCCATCGCTGGCTATGGCTGGCTATGGTGAGACACCACTTTTCCCCGTTTTGAAGACATGGATGCATTCCATTTTCTTTTTCTTTTTTCTTTTTTTTTAGTGGGATGGATCCACTCGTTCGTCCTGTTTTTCGCTCCGATTACTTCCTCCAATTTCCCAACAAAAAAAATGTTCTTTTTTTTGGGGGGGGGGAAGGCGGGGGGGGGATGGATCCACTCTTTCGTCTCGTGTTCCGCTCCGATTACTTCCTTCGATTTCTCAAAAAAAAAAGAAAAAGAAAAGAAGGGGCATCAGGACCGAGGTCCATTCATGAAGAGAGTTCTATTCATAGATAACGAATTCACATGCCAGAAAAAAAAAAAAAAAAAAAACACCACGACCGTCAGCACATTCTTTTTTTTTTTTCAAGTTACGAGTGACAAAAGAGTTACACGAGTGATAAGCTTTGTATTGGACACTTTTTTGTACACTCTAGTGCCTCTCTCCACTGCATAATATTTGAAATGTATTTGGGCATGGGGTCTTGTCGCAATACATTAATAGCTTCTCATCCTTACCTCCCTTTTTGCTATAAACTCCAAGGATATAATTTCTCCTGATTATTCTATCAGTACAATTACTACCGTCTTCCCCCGAACATAACGCACCCTGAAAATGAATGTATACAAGCTATATTTCCAGCCGGATACAGCCAAAATAAGGGTGCGTTGGGGAAGACGGTAGCCTTAGTAAGCAAATTAGATCCTCCCTGACAGTGTCTGATTTATTTAGAACTGTAGTTGACCTTCGCCGCGGTCCTTTCGGAAAGCTCAAATGGCCCTAACCTTAGGTTTTGTTATAAATGGCCTGACAAGGGGTCTGAAAATTGAGGCCTCCGTTAACCGTCTCTCCCGCACTTAGGAAGAGGTTTGAGGGGCTTGTGCTATGCCCCCCCCTCAGGGATCATAATGCGGGAGATACCAGGTCCTATGCATGTTGTCCGCTTGTGTATGCGCGCGCAGTATGGCAAACTTTAAGCTGTTTACTGAGAATCCTGGTTTACAGAAATTAGAGGATGACGAGTCCGTTGGGTTGCGTGGGCCAGATGTACGGAATTGTACAGGACCGGAAAGTTTGCGCAGATTGCACCCTGGGTGACAAGTGGAAAGCTGGGCAGATCTTATGTTATGATCCCGAAACACAAAGATGTGAACAAGTGGAGACCAATATGCCAGATCTCTTGGTCTGAACCTTTTTTTTTTTTTTTTTTTTTTTTTTGACGCGCTTTTGGAACCTTCGCGGCAAGCTGCGATGATAACATCCTCTTGTGTGAACGAGGTTAAATTTTGAAACGTCTTCCTGTTCTAAGTCACTTTAATTTGTGTGGCACGAATCTCTTGCCTTCTTTTTTGGGTAGGGTTAATAAGGATATCAATACCAATGAAGGGTATATGCCTGGTAGTTTCGACGTCAAGGAAATGTTTTGCCAGCTTCCGCACTCTGCCATCATTACTACAGCGGTTGAATGGGCTGTCAGTTTATTTGAGGAGAAAAGATATTATATAAGTGTTTGGTTCACACGCGGAAGAAGCTGGTCCGGCTATCTGTGGTTTTGAGTGAAGTGGGATACAAGTCAGTAACTTAAGGTTTTCTGTCTTAATTAGGTTCAATGACATTCAGTATGATTTGGACAACTTGAATACGTTTACAATGGCTGGAGCCTGGAGGTATGGTTTTCAAACAAAATTTAGGGATTCCCATGGGCAAATCTTAAAGTCGGGCTCTTGCCTGTTTGATGTGTGTGTGTACATAACGAATTTACCATAGTTGCGGCACACGTCGGTGCGCCAGTTTGCGCACGGTTTGCGCACGTCGCGCCCCGCACTGCACAGCGCACCGAAGCGCAGCGCACTTGAAAAATTAGGTCCCAAAAAAAAAGAAAAAAAAGTAGGGGTTTTCTAATTAATCAAAAAAAAAAGAAAAAAAAATCTATTTGTTTTGAGTCTGGTTTTGTTTTTGATTTTTTAAAAATAATTTTAATGCTCAAAAAATAAAAATAAAAATATGGGGATGTAGAGAGCAAGAAAATATACACCCCCATATATATATATATTTTTTTTCACTTATGTTTTGCCTGCAAAAAAAAAATCCACCGGCCGAGTTGTACCACGTTCAACTCGGTTCAACGTGGAGTTGAAACGGGAGTTGAACGGGAGTTGAACCGTTCAACTCAAAACCCCCGTTGAATCCGATTTCGGACACATAGGCTATGCTCCCTTTCCTGAATATCCTCGATACGTACTGAGTACTCCCGGTTCCCAAAATACTGGTTCCGGTTCAGTCCCACGTTTTTTTCGGGCTGTCTGGGAAGTTAATACCGTTGGTTCGTACCAGGTCAAGTCTGGTATCTACCGCCTATCTTACAGTAGGTGAGTAAAACCCAGGTCATCCTAATCTCTATCCTCCCATCCCCCAACTCCTACTTCCTCTCGTAACAAAGCAACTCGGCTATCCTTCTCCAAACCCTCTCCTTATCCCTACTGAAGTTACGAATTGCTTTCCGAAATAGTACATCCGGGTAGTTTCTCCGTCGCAGTTTCATTCTCAGCACAATAACAGCTGCAATCATGCCCGGTGTTGAGCACGAATTCTGTCGAATTCTATGAAGGCATCTTGTGATTGCTGCGACTTTCTCCTTCTTTCCTGTCCATGATTCATAGTCCTGGATGGTCTGGAAAGTCAGGTCTCCTCCTTCTAGTAGATCTTTCTCATTCTTCACTTTTTGGTGACAGCTCAGGAAGGGGAATTCGTCCTCGACTCTCAGACAACAACCCAGGAAATCCCACTCTCTCTCTCCCTCATCCGTTCGTTTTAAGGTCAAGTTCGAATCATAGCACTTCTCATACACACCCAAGATCTCCCCAGCCCGGCGTTTCGACTCTGCGCTCTTCCTATTATATGCCACGAAAACTGATGCATCATTAACAAACCGTATTCCAGCAACCAGTCTCTTCTGGCTACCTAATGTGAGCACAAAATCCCATTCGGATTTTGCACACATCAGGCACGCCAGTGGAGGACTTGAGGACTTTCCCATTGGAATTCCCACAGTCTGTCTCAGAATGACACCGGAAGCGACTATGTAACAGTTCCTTAAATCGTACTTGACGTACTCCTGTACTACTGAAAAGCTCACCAACTTATGCCTCTCCACTGACTGGCATTTGCTCAACTTTGCACCCTTTCCCCTGTTTTTCACAAAAATTCCACGAAAAACCTTCATTTCAAACCACCAAATGCACCATTCTACAACCCTCATAATCGTCTCGTGTGACAGCCTACTAAACATCTCCTTGATGTCGTAGGAGGCTCCCAACACACTCGTGTTCGCACAACCTCTTTTCAAAGCCCCATTCATCCTTCCTAACCTGGTAGTCATGAGGTGGTCAGATTGAAATGCCCACTCTCAGGGAGGTTGAAAAGCATTCCATTCAACCCCTGCGAAATCTTCCGGCACAATCTGTTACCAGGTTCATCAAAAGTGGGATAGATCGGTCGGAATTTCGAGGTATCTTTGTGCTTGGGTAACGCATAGGCTCTACCGAGTTTCCCTCCTTTCTTCCAACTTTCGTACTTCGAAAAACCATTGCCACGATACTCCCCTTCCAACCTTTCAATGATCTCACACTCCTCCTCCTTCTGCACCTCATACCCATCGTTTGCAATGAAAGTGCTACCCATCCCCAAGGCGTACACCTCAGCACACATAACGAGTGTCTCACCTGGGTTCCTGTCCAAGGGCGTACACACATACCCATTTAACCTCCCTTTTAGTGCGATAACTGATCCCATGTTACCTGTCCCCCTTCCCATCGATTCATCAATACAAGTCTTCACATCTCCCTCGGTGATCTCGATCCTACTCATGTCCATGTTCAACCAGTCAATCCCGTGAATAAACGCCCTCACTTCCTCTTGAAGCCTCTTCACAGATTCCTCACTCCATTCTTTTGGGATATTCCTTGCATTCCTCGCAATCACGGGGCACTCCTCCCATGTACTCAGTCGAAAATGGGCATGTCCCTCTTCCCTTGGAAGGGACGATTCGGTGCACATGCACCTAGCAACCCCACTCGCTGCATACTGGCGATGATTGTGGATTATGTCCCCGACGTTTGGACCCCGCGTCCACACTACCCGGGTGCGTTGCTTCACCATTTCCTTCACAGCACAATCCAGAGGCAAACCCCCAATCTTCCTTTTCACGAGCCTCATCACTTCTCCTTTCTTAATCCGATCATCAAACCTAACCTTCGTGACCACGCGGCGGCTAATCTTCACTCCAAACTTCAATTTCACTACATCACTAACCATCTTTTTCGCCTTCGATCGACTCTTTTTGGTTGAAAAAATCTTCGCAGCGGCATAATATTAAATTAGCTCGAAAATTTGGAGTCGCTTCAGCTTATTCTGCTTCCTTTTGCATTTAAACATCCTGACTAATTCTCCCTTCAATCTCAGCGTCACGGGTGATGCTTCCACAACGTCTCGAATCCTCACGTAACCCTCGTTTTCAAACAATTTCTTACACTTCCTCAGTGGTCGGGGCCTCCTACCCACGTGCAACCTTGTCTCACCGAATAGTCTCTTTACTACGTGTCAATTGTCAGTCCATACTAATCCTCCGTTGCCCGCCACCTTATACTCCTTACCTTTCCCATCTTTCGACAACCTTCGTATTAAGTTCACCACTCGTACCGTCTCATCCGCCACCCCGTCAATCCGCAGTGTAAGGATTCTCGATTGTGCCGACGTCCCATCCTTTTCTTCAATGTACTTCTCAATGCTGATTCCCTTCTTACCCCTCGCTCGTCTCCGTTCCTTCTTTCCTCGCCTTCTTCTACTCTTGGTCTTATTCTTCTTCATCCTTGTATTTAGCGAGGGTGACCAACTTCTTATCAGTGATTTTTCGATCGCTTCAAGTTCCTTCCTGTCATCACTGAACACCAGCGGTAAAGCTACATACTGTTCAACGCCCACTTTGCTCAACCACGTATACAAGTTCCGTCTCCCTTTATCCCCTCTTCTTCGCTTCCCAGCACACATTACGTGTTCTTTCCATCTCAAACTTAGCTCCCGTTCTGTCATTCCGATGTAAAGCTGTTTGTACCAAGGTGACACCAACGCGTATACACAGCCAACTGATCTCACCAAATACAGAACATCTCTCGAACACGCGTCCCGCCAGTAGTCCAAAAACTTCCCGCACCAAGGCACTTCCCCTCGCACCACCAGTTCTATCAACACCGTGCGTACACACTTCTCCTGTGATTCGTCGCTGCAGCCTATCCTCGATCTAAGGCTTCGGAGCGTAAGAATTTCTCTCCACAAGCATCCGCCATACTGCTCCTGATTTCTTCAATCCTGTTCTTCGCTTCAGTTCTTAACTCAGGTCTTATGCCCCTGGCATCCGCCATAAGTCCAGTCCTCTAGCCTTTCTTCGGCGTCGTCAAGGGTGGACTATTCTCCATAGCCTTCTCCGGATCCCTTCTCCTTTTGTCGTTGATATTTATTCTAGCTGCTCGCCTTCGTAATAGTAGGAGCTCAGTATCCTCCTCCTCCTCCGAGCTCGGTTGCATGGCGATTTCTGTTCTCAGTCTTTCCTTCTCCTCTTCAACTGTCTCGCCCCTCTCATTCACCTTCTCTTTCCTCCTCTCCTTTCTCTCTGTCACCTGCTTTGCACTCCCTCCCCATTCGGCTCGTACTAGTCTCAGCAATCTCGCATCACGTTGATCTTCATATCTCTTTCTCTCTTCCAATCGTTCTAGTCTCTTCCTCTCTCGTTCCAAGCGTGCTTCTTCCGCCTGCCTCTCCTCTTGTTCTCTGGCTTCCTGCTCCTTTCTTGCTCGTCTCTCTTCTGCCATCTCCAAAAAATATTCACGCATTAGTCTGTCGGTATAGGTTGACCCGCTCCTATTAACTGAACTGTTTGCTGATATGCTCCGCTGCTGCCCTTCCTGTAAGGTAGTCGTTCTCCCTTGCCGCGGTCTCGGGGGGGGTGGTACGAATGCCACTCCTCTTGCTTTAGCATCCTGATATTCTTCACAGTCCTTCACGAAATGGTCAGCTTCTCCGCACTTGTAGCAGGTCTTTCCCAGCATCAGATGGACTCTTGCAGGAGCTGGTGGTTGTCCGATGCTCCCACCAGTTCCCGCTGTCCCGCCCGAGCCACTTGATTGGCTCATTTTTTCGAGTGCTCACTTTCCGACTTGCAACGCGTCGTGAACCCCAAGCTTCTTCCTCAACTTCTTGATGGTATGGTATAACTTCTTTCGCCACCCACTCCAGGTTAACTCCTAGCAGATTACGGGACCGATCCAGAGCACTGAAATCATGTCACGCAAGGTCACACTGATCTTCATGCCAAACGTATAACACGCGAAAAAAACAGCTCGTGGCTGTAAGCATTAGCAACCAAACGAAAGAAATAGCCAGGTAGCTCGTGACAATACATGAAACTCAGGCTAAATGCCAGTGCGGACAACCCCGTCCATCACACGACCGTGGCTACTGCGAAGGCAGTGCCCCACCATCCGTTCCCGTCCGCTACTGACTCCGAGCACGCAAGGTGCATAGGGAGTCTGACCGATGCATTCAATCTATTTCTACTCTCAATATCTGCGTCTAACCCGCCAACCGGCAGGTTCTTTGTCCCAAACTATCCCCATCCCTGAATATCATGGACAAGTACCAAGTACCCCAAATCCAGGCTATGCTCCCTTTCCTGAATATCCTCTATACGTACCGAGTACTCCCGGTTCCCAAAATACCGGTTCCAGTTCAGTCCCACGTTTTTTTGGGGCTGTCTGGGAAGTTAGTACCATTGGTTCGTACCAGGTCAGTCTGCTGAGTTACGATTGATCCTTCTCTTTTTTTTTTTTTTTTTTTTTTTTTTTTTTTTTTTTTTTTTTTA